CTCTTGTTGTTGTATCAGGACTTCATTTTTTGCAAACACACATTGAAGGTCTTGATAAGGAAAAAAGCATAAGAACTGTCGGTTTTGAGATGATATTTCCTTCAATGCTCAATGAAGCCAAAATTATTGGGCTTAACCTTCCATATGACCTACCTTGTATAAAGCACATGATCAAACTTAGAGAGGAAAAGAAGAGCAGGTAACTAAACTTAAAAATAAATGATTTTTTGAAGCTTTTGTTATATGATAAGATGATAAAATAAAAATTTTATTGTAGGATCCCAATGGAAGTGATGCACTCAGTTCAAACTACACTGCTTCATTCATTAGAAGCTATAGAAGTTGAATTGGTGCAGTGGGATAGAATTCTGAAGCTACAATCTGCAAATGGAAGCATCTCAGATTCACCTTCTGCTACTACTATAACTTATTTGAATACCCATGATAGCAAGTGCCTTGAATACTTAACATACATAGTGAAGAGATTTGAAGATCATGGTATATATAGACACCATAATGCTAATTTTAACTTATATATATTTAAACTATATAAACTTTCTAAATATGCATGTAACTACAATATATTGAATTCTTTCTCTGTATTATTCGCCTGCAGCACCTTTTTTATATCCAGTTGACACCTATGAGCGCAATTGGATGATCGATACAATCCAACGCTTGGGAATAGATCATCACTTCTGCAAGGAAATTTCTAATGCACTTGACTTCTTATATAGGTAAGAAGTTTCTTATATGTATAAAATAAATAGAGTTAATAGTTTTCTTTGGCCAAATAACTAAAAGTAAATTTTATGCTGATCTATAGAAATCTTAGGAAAGATGGTTTTGCATGGGGAAGAGATGCATTTGTTACCGACATTGATGATACATGTATGGGGCTCAGATTATTAAGGTTACATGGCTATCCCATATCTCCTGGTGAGACTTCTTCACATATAGCAACTAACATGCAGTCTTCTCTCTCTCTCTCTCTCTCTCTCTCTCTCTCTCTCACCCACTATATGTTTGTATGCATTTATGAAAAATTTCTAACAATAGGAGATGATATACAGATGTGTTGGAATACTTCAAGGATGTTGATGGTACTTTCTTATGCTATATGGGTGAGACACATAGAGGTGTTTCAGATTACTTCAGTTTGTATCGATTCTCCCAAATCGCATTTTTGGGAGAGAAGATACTAAAACAAACAAAAATTTTCACAGAGCAACATTTGATTAAAAGCATCAAAGACAATCATGTGTATGACAAGTGGGCAATAAAGAAAGCCTTAAATAAGGAGGTCAGTTTGTGTCAATATTTTCATCAGGACCAATATAAATATGAAGCTTTAGTTCTTGATTCGCTTAACCTTTAAAATAAACAGATTGAATGGGCATTGAGAAACCCATGGAAGACGAGTCTTCCTATGCTTGACGTGAAAGAATACATAAGAAATTATGGAGATAATGATGTTTGGATTGGGAAAACAATCTATAGGTAAAACAATAGGCATCTTAACTTCTAATTACATATACATCGGATAATATTATTTGTATGTTCATATTTAGGATGTCTAATATCAATAATTCGAAATACTTGGAATTGGCCAAGTTAGAGTGCAACAAGCTGCAAGCCATAAACACAAGAGAAGCTAAATCGATACTTCTGTGAGTTGATTTTTGCACACTTTACACAAATGTTAAAGACAACGTTTTATTAAAATTCCTAATTTCATTTATGAATACCAGATGGTGGAATTCTTGTGGCTTTGATAATCCTCATGTCACCCAATTGAACCCAAAGGACATTCATTTCTCAATATGTGCAGCTATATATGAGTCAAAATTTTCAACCTCTAGGATTGCTTATACCAAATGTAATTGCATCGAAAGTATACTCAAAGATATTTTTCAGAGCCATGAATCCTTCCAAGAACTAAAATTATTTTGTCAAGCAATCCATGAGTAAGTAATTTATATGTATCAGTCAATGCTTTATTGGGCAAAATTCATATAATGTTTTGATTAAACATGTTTGTAGATGGAAACCTGCAATGGTGCAAGTTCTACCGAGCAATTTGAAACGAGTATTTATGGTAGCTTATGAAACCATGAATGAACAGATAATAGAAGCTAATAATGCTCAAGGAAAAGATGTCTTCCCCTACTTACATGATTTAGTAAGATACATAAAAAGTAACTTATGTAAAATAATCTACTATCAAATCTAAAATAATTCAAAGCCAAAACTTTGATTTATGTGACAGAGAAAACAACAAGTGCAACAATACCTAAAAATCAGAGAATTTAAAGACACAAAGAAATGTGAAAACTATGAAGAATATGTAGATCAAACTAAGAGAGGACTCGCAGTGGCCATTAGATTGTTACCAGCCGTGCTTCTCATGGGAGATGTTTTGCCAGATAATGCACTCAAAAGCTTGGTTCATAGATCAACAATTCTTGAGCAACTATCTTCATACGTTGCATTATTGGTAAGTACTACAGTGAAATCATTTATTAAACTAACTATATTTTAATTGTATGATTGCAAGAAATAAGTCATTAATTCTCATTCATTTGGCTTCAGAATCTAATGACTGAGGAAAGAAGTGCAGTTTATATGTACATGAAAGAACATAATTGTTCTGAGCAAGATGCACTGGCTTACATAGAGGAGAAGATCGATGATGCTTTTGTTGAATTCACGCACGAGTACCTGAAGCCCAATATGCATATTCCACATTCTTGTCGCCGACTGATCTTCGAACATGGCAGAATTATTCGATTTTCTCTCAATAAAATAATCAATGGTCAACCTCTTGAAAGGATGGATAAAGTTTACACTCCAATACTCTAACTAAACCCATCACTTATACTAATTTCATCAACTAAATGGCGCCTATAGTGTGACTTAAAGCTTATGCCAATAATTTGAGACACATTGACATCGACATCATAGCCTATTTTGGCCCATGAGAAAATGTATTGCATTTATATGGCTTTTCTAAATACAATCATATATTGTATAATGTACTATATATATGATTATAATGTGTTAATTTAATGGAGTGCACATATTGCATAACATGTTTTAATTATCCATTTATGAATGAAATAAAATTCTATAAGATGTATTCATGTTAGCAGTATAACACTGAAGGATAAGGAAGAGAAACCCTCTAATAAATAGTTGGCATGATATGACTTTTAGTTCATATATGTAGATTTGGAATTATTTTCAAATTGAAATAAGTTTTTATTTGAAAAGTTTTTAATTGCTCATTATTGTAATTGATTAGGGAATATATTATTTTTCTAATTAAGTTGATTTGATTGGAGATTTAATTAATTAGGGATTTGATTGATTCATTAATTAGGATATCTAATTATTGCATTAATTAAGAATTTGATCATGATTAGATTAGAAAGTTTTTTTTCTAATTTATTTTGGCTCAAATCTATAAATAGATCATTAGGGTTTGTTGTTGAATGTAAGAGATGAGAGGAAGAAGAGCTTGAGAGTATTGTAATCCCTAGGAGCCGCACGCACTCTCACAGCCTATTCTAGTAGCGTTCCACTAGCCTGCTTCAGCATAAGGTCCAGTTCCTGAGCTGAATGAGAACAACTAGTTCTTAGAAAGGGACTATAGTTGGCGGGCAACGGTGGCCGGAAGGATCGTAGTCGACGGGCAACAATGGCCATATAGACTGTAGTCCACAGGCGACAAAGGTTGAAGGGAGCATAGTCGAGGGCAATGGCGGTTGGAATGGCGTGTTAATGGCAGCCGATCAAAGGTCTGATAGAGATCATTGAGTTAGGATTGGACCAATTTTATTGTCGTTGGGTTTGTCTCTTTGAGACATTGTGTTTGACTATAAATTTGTTGAAATTAGAGTTTGGATAATCTCAAATTTAATTTTAGAAGTTGCTAATTAAGATATGTCTCGAGATTCCAGCTGAATCAAGACAATTTTTAATGCCGTATCATACTTGTATTACTTTCAACCACTCACTCCTAAACCCTAAACTTGACAATGTAATGGTTGTTGATAAGAGAGCAAAGTTTTTGATCACAATATTCTATTATTTTCTATTTGTGTGGTGGAGTGTAATGCTGTGTTGATTGCTTGAGAAGATTATGAGTAAAATTGTTTTGTAAAATAGATATTGCAATAAGAGTATGCTGCCAATCGATTAAAGTGAGAAACATATAATAAAATGATTGATGCTATTATTCGTGTGGTATGTGGTTGGATGAGAGGAGAAACATATAATAAATTTTAGAAAAATTGTTGTGATGCAAAGACTTGTTAAATCAGCTACAAGCCTTGGATGGCAATGGGAGACGGGAGTGTTGTTGACGTGGATCTCGAGGGCCACGTGGCCCATCATTAGGGACAGCTGTGAAGAAAGCATGTTACTCCATTGATTTAAACCTACCTACCCACCGCGGGGTGTCTTGGTGGTGGAGCCAAAGGCCAGGTACTTCGTGACAGTTTTAAGTGTCGGCTCGTATAAATTGGTGTGGGTTGCATGCATGCATGCTAGGTGGATCAGGAAGATTAGTGGCCGAAGGCCGATACTCCCTGTCCCAAAAATAATAATAATAATAATTAAAAAAAAAATTTAAACCGACCTCATTAAATGCTGCTTCCAAATGAACAGAGATTGCAGGAGTCTCTTCTTCGTTGCTGTTTGACGTTCCCTTCCTGCCGGATCGGACGTTACATCATTTTGATCGGAAGCAACGACGGGAGATGGCTCGCTGTGAAGGTAACTTTCTCCCTTTCCACCGCTTCTTCGCCCAAATTCCGTAAATCCGACGATGTACAGGATTTAGTAAATCCGGGATTTACGGCACGGCAAAAAGAGGGAAATGGAGGATTTATTCCGCCCTTAGATTTACGTGAAAGTGATCATTAGACGTTGAGTGTTCAGCTGCTATAAATAATTAAGGAGGGATCGAGAGAGATAAAACAAACTCACACAAAGAAATGGGGAGCTTGACTAATTGCATGCTTCTTTCAACTTCCACCATTCCGTCTTATTTCTTCAATGGTCTTCAACGGAGAACATCAAGCTTCCGCGACTTCAGGCATCCTGCATCTGTCAAACACTTCTCCAGATCAGCAAGACCCATAGGTATACGTTTTGATTCGAATTCATTTCAATATGTTGTATAAAGTTTCTCGAGGCAAATTGTTAATGGAATTTCAAACAAAAGGAAGAAGCACTGACAGAATTTACAGTTTGCATTCGGCATATCTGCTATTTTTCAGTCCTTCATATCTATGTATATGTCTCATGCATGATGCATGTGCAGGTGTTCGAAAAGTTATTACAGAAGCAAAACAGGACATGCTGAAGGATTCTGAAGCAGTACAACCAAACACTTGTAACCAAGTATGTTTAAATAATTACCAAGTTTATCAGCTCTGAAAAATGTTCAGCGTATCAGTACTCTTTAGTCATATTATACTTCTGTGAAGTCGGTTGGGGTGATGATATGAGAAAAATAACTATGAATATATGCTCAGTAAAATGCATCACAAGTACACTACAGTAAAATCGTTTGTTTTCGGCGGATTTGGAAGTTTCCGGCGAACTTCCCACGGGAATCCTTTTCGAGGGTAAATCGAGCACTGCCCGACCCTACCTGCGGCCCATGAGATTCCAACTCCCTAGGTGCGCGCTTCCATCAACCACTCAACCAGAAAGAGTAAAATATGTTACAAAACATACAATTATTTATTTAAATAAGAAAAACAAAAATTTAAAATTAAAATAAATTTAAATAAAATATTAAAATTAATAAATAATAAAAATAAGTTATTGAATAAATAATTAATTAAAAATAACTTATTTAGTTAATAAATTTTTTATTATTTAAAAATACATTAAAATGAAATAATAATTAAATTAAGCTATTAATTTAATAATTAATTAAACTAAATTATAAAATTAATAATTAATTAAAATTCGTCGGAAACTCCGCCGAAAAATCCGTCGGAAAATTAGGTTGAAATTTTGTCGAAATTTTTTCGTTGTAATACGCCGGAAATTATTCCGTCAGAAATTAATATGTCGAAAATTTCGTCGGTAATAAAAATTTTCCTGTAGTGATTTTTATGTTTAATGATTCTTTACTTCTAGATTAAGTAGATCATCTCTAATTTATGCAATTAATGAGTTATAGGTGGTTGAACAAGATGCGAGGATTGAAACCTTGATAAGAGAAATCAAGGATATGTTCTTAAGGTTGGGAGATGGTGAAATAAGCCCATCAGCCTATGACACAGCATGGATTGCAAGAATTCCATCCCTGAATGATCCAAACAAACCACAGTTTCCAACAACACTTCAATGGATCCTTAAGAACCAACTAAATGATGGCTCATGGGGGGAGCCTAGTTTCTTCTCTTTATATGATAGGCTTGTTTGTACTCTATCATGTGTTCTTACTCTCACATTATGGAAACAAGGAGATGAACTCATAGCGAATGATAACATTCATTAACACTATATTTCATAGTAATTTTCTTGTTTTACATTAACATAAAAATGAGCTACTCAGTTGTTATGAATGACAAATAACAATATCATGCATAAATGAAAACATACAAATAAACATGATAACATGCAATATATGTTGGCTTCTATTCAACATGTGTGCATAACGACATATAAGTTTAATTAAGGTGATATTTTTGTAATTTAGTAAATTTTTAATGAAATATTATTCTCGTAAAACTTATATGAAATATTAAAGGTTGAAATTCATTATATCTTGTTACTCTCATCCTTAAAAATAAAATAGAAGGATATATCTCACTTTTGGAACAAGTTGTCTATTTAACTTCATGGGTCCATGTGATGCAACCATAAAAAATATATTTTCATTTAAAATGTAACTTATTTGTATCAATTCTAATTTTTGTTTCTTAGTTCATATCTATGTGGTGGTTTCTATATGAACTCAATGTCCCTAGCTAGCATTTTAAATATTTTATAATTAGCACTAGTTCTTTATTGTAATGTTTTGACTCAACCCATTGAAATTCAAATCAACACATCTAAAGTTCATATTCAAGTTAACAACAATGAAAATTTGAACGGATATTCTTTTAGCAATTTCTCCCTATTTATTATTATTTATATTAATATTTATACAATTATATTGTTATTTTTTAAAATTTAAAAT